AAAACTAGGGGGCATATTTTTAAGGTGAGAGGAGAAGTTATAAAAAGGACACGAGGGGCACCTTTTCTTACACAGAGTGTGTGGAATGAACTGCCAGAGGAAGTGGTGGATGCAGGTGCAGTTACAACATTAAAAAGACATTTGGACAGGTATATGAATGGGAAAGCTTTACAGGGATATTAGCCAAACACAGGGAAGTGGGACTAAGCGGACTGAAGGGTCTGTTTCCATACTATGTGAATCTATGACTCTATGTATTAATGACCTAGACTATAGTGTACAAGTGGGCCATTCCAAAGTTTTCAAATTTTCAGATGATATGACACTTGATAACGTTGTAAACTATGAGAGGGGCAGTTCAGTACTCCAAAAGACACAAGATGGATAGATAACAGATAAAGTTGAACGCAGAGATGTATGAGGTGGTTCATTTCAGTGAGCAGATACAATAAGAAAGAAAGGGCATAATTCTAAAAGATGTTAGAAGCAGAGAAACCCAGGTGCATATGTACACAGATCATTGAAGGTGGCAGGAGCAAATTACTGCAGATGCTGGAAGCTGAACTGAAAGCAAAAAATGCTGGAGATCACAGTGGTCAGGCAGCATCACGGAGAGAGAGCAAGCCAATGTTTTGAGTCTAGATGACTCTTTATCAGAGGTAAAGTGAAGTGTGGAGGAGGCAGCATTTATGCTATAGTGGGGGGGTGGTTGGTGGCAGAACAGGTGGAGAGAGCAGTCAATAAAGTATACAATGTCCGCGGCTTTATCAATAGGGTTATAGAGTCCAACAGCAAGGAGGTGATGTTGAACTTGTTGTAAGACACTTAGTTAGGCCTCAGCTAGAGGACTGTGTATGGTTCTGGGCACCACATTTAAGAAGGATGTGAAGGCATTGGACAGAATGCAGAAGGGATTCATGTGAATAACTCCAGTGATGAGGAACTTCAGTAACATGGACAGATTGGAGATTTTAGGACTGTCTTCTTGGAGAAAAGGATATTGAGAGGATATTTGATGGAAATGTTCACAATCAGCAGGGGATTAGCCAGATTAGGTAGAGAGAAACTGTTCCCTCTTGTGAAAGGATCAGGGCTGAGATGGAATAGATTTGAAGCAATTAGCAGAGAGTATTGCAGAGAGCACTATCTGAGAGTTTGGGAAAGAGGTAGTTTCAACTGGAACATTCAAAAGAGCATTAAATTGTTGTGTGAAAACTAAGAATGTGTAGGTTTATCGGAAGAGTGGCACTAAGTGAATTGCTCATCAGAAATGATGGACTGAATGGCCTGTATCTGGGCTGTAACAATTTGGTGACCAGCTGTGTAACTAGCTGGGCCACCTACCCCTCAGCGGAAAACAAAGTCGAGTAAAGAAGGGGTCAATTGATGTCAGAACCTGCTAGGCATTCAATTATTTACCATCAGTTTCACTGACAGCAATAGCAAGTCCTCATAGACTTCAAACTGCACCATCCTGGGGCCTCAAATCAGGAGGTGGTGGAATTGTAATGTTCAAGGTGAAAGGAGAGAGCTAAAGACACTGTGTTCATCTTACTTATGCTGCTGTCTTGATCTGATTCACATTGGCAAAGTGCTCTATGATGCTTTGAGGGTGTCAATCAAGCTACTTCCCGACAGTGGGCTTGGAGCAGGGAAACAATCAGATTTTAGCAAAACGGATTTGGTTAGATGTGCAATTTTTAATACAGTGCTGATAACATGAACTGAACAGACGCAATCCAGCAGCACGTGAGAGATACGGCTGTGGTTCAGTTCGGGTATCCTCATCTCAAATCTTACATTTATATTTATTTTCTCTGGTGTTCCAGTATTTTCATCTTTAATTATTGCAAACAATACTAGCCTAAGTTGTGAAAAACACTTGTTAAACCTGGCAAAGGGAAAATGAACAGTTTTAATTTACCCCTGAAGTAGACTCAAGAGGTGGAGTGGGACAGACAGACGGCTTTGGCCATGTACTTTGCCCATTGAGAGGCTGGGAAGCAGAACAGGATCTGGTTGACATTGGGGTACCGGGGAAGGGGGAGTGTGTGTTGAAGTGTGCAGCCTGGTTTGCTGCAATGCAGATGTCTAAAGCTGGGACAACTCTTGTGCATTTTTAAAAATTAAATGCTGCTCTCTTTCTATTCCCATACAATCTACAGCCACCTCTTTAGACTCCTCAAATTGCCTGTATTTAATCCCAATCTCCCCCCAGCCTCCGTTCTCGTATCCCAGCTTTACAATCCCACTGTACAACTCTTACATTTCACACTGTACACTTCAGCTGTGGTTGCAAAGGACCTCTCTGTTACCAGACAGAAATTAGTGCAGCTCCTTTTTGAACCAGTTAATTGCACCAGTGTGTTACCAGTTTTACAGTCCCACAGATCTTTTCACATGGGAAATCAATTCTGCATCGCTACAAGCATTCTTAGAATGTTCTTCTGTTTACTTTCCTTTCAGGTAGCACTAGTTTGGCGAGTTGACTCTCAAGGTTGTGGGTTTGAGCCTCACTCATTAATGCATGTGATCCCAGTGCAGTACTGAGAGATGCTGCACTGTCAGAGGTGCTGCCTTCTGTCTACCCTCTCAAGTGAAGGATTCCACAGTACTATTTAAAGAACAAGGTCACTGAGCTCGAGATTTATCTCTCAGCCAGCATCAATAAAATCAGATTATCTTGTCATTATCTTCTTGCTGTTTGCAGGAGCTTGCTGCGCACAGTCAGTTTCTTGCGCTGACAATACTTCAGAAATATTTTAATGGCTATGAACAGCTTTGAAGTCCTCCGAGGCTGTGAAAGGTGCTATATAAATGTGAATTGTTTCTCTGATGAAGGTACGGACTGCCAGTGTTGTTGCTGGGACCAGTAGCTACATGATACACACCTGTAAGCTTTGAAATTCCTGCAGGGGCCACAGCTTGGGAAATTAGACCCAAAGCTGTGGCCATTGCCCTGGGTTTGCCTGTGAATTGCACTGGAATATGGATAAGGGTCACTCAGGGTAACCATCCAAGTCCCTGAAAAATACTCAACTCGTAGCATATATTCCCCGTCTTAAACCCCAATCCTGACCCCAGAACTAAACCCTATTCCCGTCATTGACTCTAAAACTAAACCTGAAACCCCAATCCTGGCCCCAAAACTAATCCCTAAACCCTGTCACTTATCCTAAATCTAAACATTAATTCCCATGACTGACCCCACAACTAAACTTTATCCCTCCCCATCATTGACTCTAAAACTAAACTCGAAACTCCAATCCTGACCCCACAACTAAACCCTAAACCCATCACTTTCTCTAAAACTAAATGCTAAACCCCATCACTGACCCTGGCTAAAGCCTAAATACACCATTACTCTCACTTTCTCTAAAGATAATCCCCATGACTGACCCCACAGCCTAACCATAAACCCCATCACTGACTCTAAAACTAAACACTAAATGCAAATCCCGACCCCAAAACCCAACCCTAAATCCTGTCACTAACTCTAAAACTAAACTCTAACCCCCATCACTGACCCCCAAAACCCCTAAACCCTACAACTGACCTCAGTTACTGAATCTAGACTCTAAACCTTAAAGTCCATCGTTAGTCTAAACACTGATCCTTAACATTAATCTCTCAAACCCATCACTGACCCCATTGCTCCAATTTACAAGATTTGTTAAGTACTGTGTAAACAGCTGCATCAGTGGGATTAATATTTCAATGTGATTAACCTGCAGTTACATTACACAACACTAAACAATACCCCATAAAGGCTGGTATTGACTCCAGATACCCTGTTTGCTGCCCCTAATATCAGCCCTGTAAAGCTCTGCACAGATCCTAATCATGAAAATTGCCACATTTATTTTAAATTTCACCAATATCAGATTATCACAGCAAATTCATGGGGCATTTCTGTAGCCCCTCCACAGCCTGCACTCTTGACACATCCCTTTACCCACACTCAGACCATTTTACAGTTTTACACACTCAGTACCAGCCTCTCACATCCATCCATTCATTGTCTTTGCTCACCGATTCTGTAAAACTTGCTCAGTTTGACAACAGAGGAACAGCAGCACTGCAGGCTATTCAGCCCATTAAGCCTGCACTGAATTTCAATTGGATCGGAACTGATCAGCTATATCAAAGCTTCTTTTTAATACTCTCTCCGTATCCCGCGATGGTCGTTAGTCTGCAATAATGTATGGATTGCTGTCTGGAACCTGCCTGATTCACGTCTTTCTGATTCTCTCAGGCTCATGTCGCTGGACATGTACTGATTTTTCCTTCGTTCTCAATGGGTTTCGCATACTGATCTTCTCTCAGCAGACAGACAGCTCTTTCATATCACTGACAGTGACCCTCACACTCATTCTGGCACCCTAATCCAATCACTCAATCTGGATTAACCCTGGGGCGCACATTCTTACACACTCAATTTGGATTAACCCTTATGCACACATTCACACTCAATTCAGATTAACCCTGGGGCATCCATTTACACTCACTCAATTCGAATCAACCCTGGTGCACATTTTCACACTGACTCGCACATTCATTCTGGGATATCCCACGGCACTGACAGATACATTTTGTTTTTGCCTCTGTCTGACTCTCATTTTGCTGCTTTCTTTTCTCATACCCGTGTGGACCCAATATTCATTCATCCCCACACTCCCTCTTGCACATGCTAATTCTCTCTATGTCTGTCTCGCTGCTTTGCTCGCACGCACGTACACAAGGTTTTTTTTCAAATAAAACCCTCGATTTCCCACTCGAGCTGATTGTTGGTCATTGCTGCTACACACTCAGGCTCGCTGCATATTTCTGACACTTTTACACACTTTGCTTTCCCAGCCCAGTACTTCTCACTGCCGGTCCCCTTTTGTCTCCTGTGTGCAGTGTCGGTTCTGACCGGAATTTAAACATCTACAATGGACTCACACCGAACACCGGGCTCCGGCTCCTGTTCACTCAGGCACAGAGAGAGAGATACTCACAGTGTTCAGGCTGTTCCTCCCGAGGGGGACTCGGGGCTCAGTACCTGGCTCTGCAGCCTCTCTGTCCCCGCTCTCACTGAAACCTGTTTCGCGGCAAACAGCCTCGGAACCCCGGGGAACTGAGTGAGATCAGAGCGGGGACCTTAAATGGAGAGGGGAGGAAGAGGAAGTCACAGCGATTCAAGCTGCAATACTGGCGTGGGAGGGAGGGCGCTGTCAGCACACACACTGACCCAGACACACAGGGTGACACACACCCTCACACAAAGTGACCCAGACAGACAGGGTGACACACACCCTCACACACAGTGACCTAGACACACAGGGTGACACACACCCTCACACA